TTGTTTCTTGTTAATGTAGCCTTTAGCTATACACTCTTAAAAGAATTATATTGTTCCCTTTAATCTTTGGTTATACTTTCCTTTTGGGTGTTTAAGACCATGCAGTTGGCCCAGATAAGCCAATTTATTTTTACTCTTAAGGTCCATTGAGGATCTGTTCCTCAGGGGTCACATGGGCTTGGGAGGAGCCCCTGGCTCCTTTCTTTTACCGGTTCCATCTATGTGAAGGTAAGTCAAAGGTCCTGCTTGATGGTGGCTGACTTCACTTGGAAGCATGGAAGAAATGTTTCCTCTGAGTTGATCCTCCTCTTTGTAGACTGGACACTGGTTCAAGTCCATCTGGTGGGGTCTCCATGCCCTCCCTGATCAAGAGGACAGGTGACTCACCACATTAACTGCTTATTTTTGTGGATTAAGTTATTTTTAATTATTATTTTTATTTTATGTGTGTTAGTGTATTGCCTGCACGTATGTAAGTGCACTCATGTCGTGCAATGCCCATGGAGGTTAAAAGAGAGTGTTAGATTCTCCTGGAACTGGAGTTAGCCACCATGAACCTGGGTCCTCAGCAAGAGCAGCCAGTGCTCTCAGCTGTTGAGCCATCTCTTCAGTCCTGTGGATTCAAGTTTTATGAAGTGTGCATTGTAAACTTTGTTGATTTACATTAAAAATAGTTTATTATTTTTATTTTATGTGTATGAGTGTATTACCTGCATGTATATAAGTGCACCCATGTCATTCAGTGCTCGAGGAGGTCAGAAGAGGGTGTCGGATCTCCTGGAACTGGAGTTATAGACAGTTGTTAGCCACAGTGTGGGTGCTGGGAATCAAACCCAGGTCTTCTGCTAGAGCAGCCTGTGTTCTTAACTGCTGAGCCATCTCTCCGGCCCCTGATTTACATTTTTAAGGCTGGTTATCATGTTTTTCTTAGGCTACATGGCATGGTGTCTGTGGGATAATGGGCTCATTTGGTGCCCTTTTAACTGGGAGAACTTCTTCCAGCCCACAGCCTGTCATAGAGTAAAGGCTGTAGGAAATGTATATTCCTTCTGGTTTCTAAGGTAGGCTTAGATATTTTAAGAATTTCCATAGCTCTCCTCACATGGTGATTTAAATTATTTCACTGTGAGAATCTAATGCTCAGCCTCCTGGGTGACTAGGTATAAATTTTCTTTGCTTATAGTTTTCAAACAATTACAAAACCAAAATTATGTTAAATACCATAAAACTATATAGAATTAGGAGAAATCAAATTAGTAACACTAATACAACAAGTAATGTTTTAATATATTCCATTTTGCAACAGTTAGCTTTATTTCCAGTTTAAGCATGATGGATTATCATGGGAATTACTGTTATTATTGTAGATAGTACTGCTTTTAATCTAATCTGTCATTTTGATGGGCCAGTTTAATAGTGTACTATAAAAATAGTACTGAATACTCACTCATTTAATTGCCACATTCTCTTTTTAAAAATTAGATAAAATTATATATGTTTGCTGTGTACAACATGATGTTTTGGAACATACCTTGGGAAATAGCTAAATCTAGGTAATGAGCATGTTTATTGCTTCATGCAGTTGTCATTCTTGTAAAGAGAATCTTAAAATGCACTCTGGCAAATTTGCAGATAGATTGTATGCTGCTTTCTGGAATTCATCACATTGAACAAAAGGGCTCTTTAACTTATTCTGCTTTCTACCTAAAATTTTGTAATCTTTGACCAGCATCTCCCTCATCACCACCCTAACTCTAGAGAACTACCACTGTACACTCTACTTCTGGGGATCAGTTTCTTTATATTCTGCATATAAGGGAGATTTGTGTGTTACTTGTCTTTTAGTACCTGGCGTATTTTACTTAACATTGTGTCCTCTTAGTTAATCTGAGTTTCCACAAATGTTAGGATTTCTTTTCTTATGACTGTATAGTAGTCTATCATGTTTTCTTTTTTGAAGCAGGGCTGGTGTAGCCTAAGCTGACCTCAAACTCCCTATAGTGCTGCAGCTGACCTTGATCTCATGATCTTCCTGTCTCCAGGTCCCAAGTGCTGGAATTATAGGTGTGCAACACTATGTATGGTTTTACATTTTCTTTATTCATTCAGTTGTTAATGGGCTTTTAAGTTGGTGTTATATCTTGACCATTGTGAATAATGCGGTGGTGAACATGGCTGTGTAAATATCTTCCCAATATACTGATATGATTTCTGTTGCATATTTTTTAATATCAGGTTTAGATTTTTTTTTTTTGGTCTTTTTGAAACAGGATCTCCTGTCCTGGAACTCACTATGTAGACCAGGCTGGCCTTGAACTCACAGAGATCCACCTGCCTCTGCCTCCCAAGTGCTGGGACTACAGGTGTGCGCCACCACGCCTGGCAAGTTTAGAATATTTTTTAAATTTATTTTTATTTTATGTATATGAGTATTTTGCCTGCATGTATGTAAATGTATCTGTGGGTACAATGCCTATGGAGTTACAAGCTGTTGTTAGCTGCCATGTGGGTGCTAGGAACTAAAGCTCCATCCTCTGCAAGAGCAGCTAGTGCTCTTAACCATAGAGTTGTCTCCCCAACCCTTAGTCAAGTTTTTGATTGCCCACTTAAGGTTATATTTACTGATAATGAAATGTTGGGAAATGATTCATGGAAAGAACCAGTCTTCCCACTACAGCTGAATATGATAGTCAGTGCTTTAAGGTACTTTCTTTTGAGGGACCAAGGGGAGGTTTGAGGTTTGTAGTATAGACTGACTTTGAACTAACCATGTAGCCCAGATTAGCCTTAAACTCATGATTTACATGCTTCAGCTTACCAAGTGCTGGGATTACAGGCATGCACTGCCATACCTGGCATCTGGAACACTTTGTTGTTGTTTTATAACTTTAATTAGATTTAATTTACTTTTAATTTTGTTTGTTTGCTTAATTGATTGGTTTTTATTTTATGTGTATGAGTGTCTTTCCTGCGTGGTAAGTGCACCGTATGTGTGCAGTGCCAGTGGAGGTCAAAAGAGTGTGTTGGATCCTCTAGAACTGGATATGGACAGTTATTAGCTACCATATGGGTGCTGGGAACCAAACCCAGGTCCTCTGCAAGAGCAGCCAGTGCTCTTAACTACTGAGCCATCTCTCCAGTCCCTTATTTTATTTTTAATTATATGTATGTGTCTATGTGTACGTATGTGCACAAGAGTACAAATGCCCTTGGAAGACAGAGGTGTTGGATTCCTTGGAGCTGGGGTATCAGGAAATTGCAAGAAACCTGGTATGGGTGCTGGGAACCAATCTTGTGTCCTCTGCAAGAGCAGTAGGCAATCTTAATCACTGCGCCATCTCTCTAGCCCCTGGGAACACTTTGTTTTGAGTTTGGCATGCCCACGTGTCCATTCTCTTCTCTGTTCTGCCTGTGTCACCTGACACCAGAGGATTAGAAACACCAGTGCTTATGGCTATTGTGATCTTAGGGCAGCATTCAGGTGGTCGTAGTTTAGAAGACCTATGGCATAGACTTCTTTTTTTTTTTTTTTTTTTGGTTTAACATGAAAACAAGAACTTAAAAAATTAAAAAATTTTTTATGCATATGAGTGTTTTGCCTGCAGGATTATAAGTGTAACACGTGTGCAATGCCTACAAAGGCCAGAAGAGGGTGTTGAACCCTCTGGAACTAGAGTTATAGATGGTTGTTAGCTGGAACTGGAGTTATAGATGGTTGTTAGCTGTCATGTAAGTGCTGGGTATCAACCCGGTCCTCTGCAAGAGCAGCCAATGCTCTTAACCACTGAGCCATCTTTTTAGTTCTCAAAACAATTTTTTATTTTTAGACCAGTTCTCATGTAGCCCAGCTGACCTTAAACTCAACTTGTAGCTGAGGATGACCTTGAACTTCTGATCTTCCTGCCTCTAACCCCTAAGTGCTGGGATTATAGACATGTGCCACTGTGCGAAGTTTGTGTGGTTCTGGGATGGAACCCCGTGCTTTGTGCATGGTAGGCGAGACTCTTATCACCTAAGCTAGTTCCCAGCCCCTAAACTTTTTATATCTGTGCCAAGTTTCAGTCACGTGATTTTTCTGCCATTAATATTTTAAGGCTCCTTCTTATTTTTGTCTGTTCTATATTCTTTCTATCTTTTTTCTTTCCCAACCTATTCTATCTCCAACCCCCATGTTTCTTGTGGTTAAGAACGATCTTGGTGAGTGTCTCTGTTCCTTGTCCTCACCACTCTGATGATCCATCTATTCTCCATAACGTGTGCATAACTCAAACCAGGTCAGTGAACAGTCTTCCCAGGCCAGGAATGGGGACATTCCTGTAGTCCAGCTGAGGCAAGGGGATCATAAGTTCGAGACTAACCTGGGCTACCGAGTGAGGCAGTGTCTCAAAAATCTGAAAGAGGGGAGGGCAAGTGGTTCTGTTACTACCCTTGCCTCTGATTCTTGGTGTACTCAGTAAACATGCCTCATTCTGGTATTTATTTATTTATTTATTTATTATTATTTATTTTTGGGTTTTTTTTGAGGCAGGGTTTCCTGTAGCCTCAGCTGACCTGGAACTTACTATGTAGACCAGGCTAGCCTCAAACTCATAGAGATCCACCTGCCTCTGCCTCCAAGTGCTGGAACTAAAGGCGTGTGCTATCACACTGGCCTTCATTCTGGTCTTTAAACAAAGCAAAAAAAAATGTGTCTATGCCTGAGATTCCTCAGACTGAAAGGCAAGAAGGAGAATCTTTTGATCCTTGTAAATTAAACTGGGAGATGTAAGGAAGCCATGGCATCCACTTTATCACCCTGGCCACACAGAAGGCACCATTTGTCACAGGATGAAATAGGAGTACTGGGAGGAGTCTTTGATGCTACGGCTGTCCAGCCCTCCTCCATCGATTACCTTTGTGGTCAATGCCGTTTCAGCTGGCTTTTCACTTAGTGCCAGAAAGCGCCCTTGGTCCATACAAGAATTTAAAAGACTTTTCCTTTTCCTTTTTTATGCATCTAGGTGAAGATGGAGCTGGAAAAACAAGTTTAATAAGAAAAATTCAGGGAATAGAGGAGTACAAGAAAGGAAGAGGACTGGAATATTTGTACTTAAATGTGCACGACGAAGACAGGGATGGTGAGTATCACGGGTTTGTAATGTCAGCCTCCTGAAGTCAGCTCTCAAGTGCCCTCTAGTGTATCATTCATTGTTAGTAGTTCTGAGATGCCATGTGGGTCAGTGGAAGTTATCCACAGGCATACTTTGATTGATTTGGGGTTGGAGCTCATAAAGTGTGATTTTTGAACATCTTAGGGTACTCTGATGCGCAGTGTTAGCCTTCTTGCTATCCTTAGAGAGTCTCAGTTTTGAAGTTCATTCTCCCCCAGAGTGGTGATGATTTGCTGACCTTTTCAGCCCCTTGTTTTCCGATAACAGTGTAACTGGCCATTCTTTTCTTCTATAGGTCACAGTTCTTGTTTTTGTGTATGAGTTCTTGAATAATGTAAGGCTCTATATGCTGATGATAAAAAGAGAAATATGCTCTTTAATCTCTTGGCCTTGGTTAAAGAATTTGAAATAGAGGATCCTCTGATCCTGCAGTTGCCTGTTAAATAGTTTTAAGCCTTTACTAAATTGGCAGATGTGATCTAAAATGGTTGAACTTGCTCAAAGCTAACAGACGTCTCCTAAGGAAATGCTCTAAAATCCCAAGTAACATAGTTGGACGATTAAATGACTTAATAGTGCTGCCTTGGTAAATTACCTTGTCTCCCATAGATCAAACAAGGTGTAATGTGTGGATCTTGGATGGAGACTTGTATCACAAAGGGCTCCTCAAGTTCTCGCTCGATGCCCTTTCTCTGAAGGACACTCTAGTGATGCTGGTTGTTGATCTGTCAAAGCCCTGGACTGCTTTGGATTCTTTACAGAAATGGGCAAGTGTGGTTAGAGAACACGTGGACAAGTTGAAGATTCCTCCTGAAGAGATGAAAGAAATGGAGCAGAAGTGTAAGTTGTCAGGAGACATTAGCATGAGCTTCAGAACCAAGTATCTTAGCTGCCTCTAAAAATCACTAGAATATTTTTTTGCTATAAATACAGTTTAGTAAGAGCAACATAATGTGACTACTGTTTTTGAAATTTAATCTGAGTGGTGTGCTCGGTTTTAATGTTTAATATACATGATGGTAAACTCTTTGGTAGACACGTGTTTTCCTTTAAAAGAAAATTTATTTATTATTTTTGTTTTATGTATTTGAGTGTATTGCCTACATGCATATGAGTGCACCCATGTCATACAATGCCAGAAGAACTCAGAAAAGAGCATCAGATCCCTGGAACTGGAGTTACGGATGGTTGTTAGCCACCATGTGTGTGCTGAGAACTGAACCCAGGTCCTCTGCAAGAGCAGTCAGTGCTCTTAACCACTGAGCCATCTCTCTAGCCCCAGCACATGTTTTCTTTTTGCCAAGAGGCTGTATATGTTCATTTTGAAGTCATTTTTAAGGGTAAAATTTGGCTCCTTCTTCAGTTCACTTCTAGCAGTTTCATGACTAGTAATCTTGTCAGCTCTGTCAACATGAAATATGTATGCCTGAAAAGAATGTAACATAAAGAAAAATATATTGAGTGCTTTATTTTTTAAATTTTTTGTTGGGGCTGGAGAGATGGCCAGTGGTTAAGAACACTGACTGTTCTTACAGAAGACCTGGGTTTGAATCCCAGCACCCACATGACAGCTAACGACTGTCTATAACTCCAGTTCCAAGGGATCTGACAGCCCCTTCTGTCCTCCATGGGCATTGCATGACACAGGTGCACTTATCTACATGTGGGTATAACACTCATACACATAAAATAAAAATAGTAAAATATTAAAAATTTTTTGTTACATTTCATTTATTTTATGTGTATGACTGTCTTGCCTGCATGTATATTAGTATACCACATGCATTCAGGGTCCGTAGAGGCCAGAAGAGGATATCAGATCCCCTGGAACTAGAGTTACAGATGGTTGTGAACCACCCTGTGGGTGCTGGGAACCCAACCCAGGTCCTCTGTAAGAGCAGCCAGTGCTCTTAACTGCTGAGTCATCTCGCCCGCTGGAAGCTGTTTTTATTGTTTGAAAAGTACATTGGGGGAGAAACACAGTGTCTCCTTATGTAGCCCAGGCTGGCCCCAAACTCGAATTATTTCTGCTTCTGCCCACCAAGTGCTGAAACTATAGTCATGTGCCACTACACCAGTCTGTCTCTAGGAGCTTTTACCTACAGTTTTTCTTCATGGATGACCATTGTCTGTGGAGTTGTGTTTCCGCTCCCTTCTCCAGTTCGTGCTTATGCTAGAATGGTAGTTCTCTGCCTCTGGTCCTTGGGCTGGCAATATTGATATCAGTACAGTAGGAACTTGCCAGAAATATAGATTCTCACACTTATTACTCCAGAAACTCAGTGTGACTGTGTGTGCGTGATGTATGGTATGTATGTGTTTGTGTGGATGTGTGCACAAGAATACCTGTGCATGCATGTGTGTGCATATGTGCATGGTGTATGTACCTGGCTATGTGATGTGTGCATACAGGTGTCCATGCATGTATGTGTCTGTATGTGAAGGACAGAGTTTTGATGTCAGGCACTTTTCTTTATTGCTTTCCACCTTATTTACTTATTTATTTATTTATTTATTTATTTGTTTGTTTGTTTGTTTGTTTGTTTTTCTGAGACAGGGTCTCCCTGTAGTACCATGTGGTGACCTGGAACTTACTGTGTAGACCAGATTGGCCTTGATCTCACAGAGGTTTGCCTGTCTCTACTTTCTGAGTGCTGGGATTAAAGGCTTGTGCCACCATGCCCCACTGTCACCTTATTTTTAATTATGTGTGTGTGTATGTGTTGTGGAGGAATGTGCAGGTGTGAGTGCATGTACCCACATGCATGGAGTCAGAAGAGGGTGGTGGGTCCCCTGAAATTGGAGATATAGGTAGTTGTGAGCTGCCTGTGATGCTGGGAAATGAACTTGGTCTTCTGCAAGAACAGTATGTGTTCTTAGCTGCAGAGCCATCTCTTCAGCCCAGCACCTTATATTTTGAGACAGGGTCTCTCACTGGACCTTGAGCTCACATATTTGGCTAGGCTCGTTGGCCAGTGAGCTCCAGAGATTTACTTGTTTCTGCCTCTTGAGACCTGGGATTATAAGTGCACACTACTTGGCCTTGCTTTTATTTGTGTCCTAGGGATCTGAACTCAAGTTCTCATGCTTGCTGAACAAGTACTTTACCAACTTAGCCACCACCCCAGCTCATGTTAGAAACTTTTAACTAGGCAAAGGAATTGTAGACATACCTGATTAAAATCTGTGCTCATGCTGGGCATGGTGGTTCACACCTGTGCTCCCAGAACTCAGGAGATTGAAGTGGGTTTCTAGGCCAGCCTGGGCTAACAGCAAGAGCCTCTCACAAAAGAAAGAAGCACCCAGCTGGGTGTGGTGGCTCATGCCTGTCATCCCAGAACTTGGGAGGCTGTGGTGGGAGGATTGCCACAGGTTTAAGGCCAGTCTGGGCTACTCCTCCCTCTCCTTGTGCTGGGATTACAGGTGTATTCTGCCGTGCTCACGTTAGCACTATGTTTTAAACTGTGGGATTCTTTTTCTGCCATGTTTAGTTTTCTTTAATCTTTACAGGGTCTTTCCCTTAAGAGAAGGCAGAGGGCCAGAGCTTTAGTGTGACTTGTCTGAAGGTTGTGTGTGTATGCATGCGTGGGTGCATGCGTGTGTATGTGTGTGTGAGTGTGCCATGGCATGTATGTGGAGGTCCGAGGACAATTTGCAGGTATGTTTTTCTCCTCCCACCATGTGGATCCTAGGGATAAAACTCAGGTCATCAGGCTTGGTGGCAAGTGCCTTAACCACTGAACCATCTCTTTGGTCCCCAAAGTCTTGTAGAACTAACTGACCCTACACCAACCGCGCACTCTGTAGAGCCATCAGTGTCAGTCAGTGTGAAATTGTGCTGCAGAATTACTAATGTGGGCCCACTCTTTGTATACTTTTCTTTGACATAGCTTTTTGAAGTAATTTTTTGTTTCTTTTCTTACACGACTGTCTCTAAGCCCCAGTAAAATATATTTAGATTGTGGCAAAAATAGATGATGCAGTTTCTAAACCGTGTTTACTTTGATTTGCAGTGATTAGAGACTTCCAAGAGTATGTGGAGCCAGGAGAAGACTTCCCAGCTTCTCCTCAGAGAAGAAACACTGCTGCACAGGAGGGCAGAGACGACAGTGTTGTTCTACCCCTAGGTGCCGACACACTTACACATAACCTGGGCATTCCGGTACTAGTAGTTTGTACAAAGGTCAGTTTGTTTCCTGATATTCTCACTGAGGGACTGATCATGGTGGACAACTGTTTTAGTTTTTTTGGATTAGTTTTTCTAGATGATTTTTTAAAATTAATTTCAAATTCAGTGCTCTTTAATTGCCTAACCATCTCTCTAGCCCCCCCCCATTTTAAAATTTTTTTCAGACAGGGTCTCAGTGTGTGCCTAGGCTGTCCCCACACTCATGTTCCTCATATTTTGGTCTCCTGAGTGATGGAATTACAGGCATGTGCTACTATACTCAAAGTTTTGTTATCTAAAAATACAGTTTATTTGAAAGAAAATGTTATTTCAAATATTCTGTTTGTGATTGAATTTCATTTTCATAATTTCAATTAGACTTTGCTGTACCATCAGTTTCATAGAAATAATTATAGGTGAAGCCCTAACTTATTTTTAATAAAATAAAATACTTTCAGCATTACATTTCGTTATATTAATCCCCTAGTGTCAGAAGAGTTATTTTTAAATGAATGTAGCCTCCCTCCCTCTAGAGCTGGGATGAAACCCAGGGCCTTGTACATGCTAGGCAAGCACCTTATATAACCCTGAGCTGCATCCACAGCCTGAAACTGACTCCTGAACACCTTGCAGTACCTATTATGTTGTATTGATAGGCCATTATTCAGAGCTTCTTTTTTTATCATTTATTAAAAGGCACTGACAGAATCACTGTTTTCAAAATTCTCTTAGTTTGCCAGGCATGGTACACACCTGTAATCCAGCTTCTGGGGGCAGGAGGAGCACAAGTTCCAGACCAGCCTAGGCAATGGAGCCAGACCTTGTCTCAGTAAAACAAAACAAACAAAAATTCTGTTAATTTAGTTCTTTTGCTGAGTACGTTCTGTAATTAAAGGATATTTCCTTTAAGAAACAACTTATCTGTGAAATTCATTTTCTCCCCACTTGGTCCTAAGCAATGTGTTCTTATATGTGTACATCATGGAACAAGTAAGGAGATGTCAGAACATAAACCATTCTCTCCTCTCCTCTCCCCTCCCCTCCCCTCCTCTCCTTTTATTCTGTTGCAACACAGGGCCTTGCAAGTGCTAGGCAACTGCTCTGCAGCTGAGCCACACTTCCAGAATTAGTGTAAGCCCTTTCAAGGCCTAACATTGTTAGTGTTTTTAAATAGTATGGAAAAGATGTATATAATGAAAAGAGAGTATAGAATTTATCCATTTTGGGATGAAAATGATAAAAATTTAAAAACCTGACTTAGGTTTTACTTTAAATTCTACACAAATTATCATTAACTAAGAAATGGGGTAGCAGCATTTAAGTAAGTTAAAGTATATTATCTGCTTTTCAAATGGTGATTCTAGTGTAATATATTGCTACATTTTTTTCTCTAGAACAATATTTTAAATATATTAGAATCCTTGTGATTCATTTATGTTTGACGAAGAGCTGCTTATAGGCAGATGCTTCTTTATTTTATAACCACAACCTGGTTTATAAAAAACCATTTGTGAACTGAGTGTGGTGGTGCTTACCTTTAATCCCAGCACTTGGCAGGCAGATGCAGGTGGATCTCTTATGAGTTCAGGCCAGCCTGGTCTACATAGTAAGTTCCAGGCCAGCTGGGGCTACAGAGAAGCCCTGTTTCAAAACACACCCCCCCAAAAAAAACATGTTTCTTTTTAAAAAATATTTTATTCAATTTTTTATGCATATGAGTGTATTACCTGCATGTGTATTAGTACACCTGTGTTGTATAATGCTCAAGGAGGTCAGAAGAGAGCATCAGATCCCCTGGAACTGGAGTTATGGATGGTTGTTAGCTGCCATGTGGGTGCTAGGAATTGAACAAATGTAGTGGGAAGGAAACAAAGACATACCACAAAGTGTAGGAGCCTAAGGAATGTATGTCCTAAAATGGATGCAATTGTGATTCAACTCCATCACTTTAAAGACTGAAAATAGAAGGACTGGCAGAGATGGCCCAGTGGGTACAGGTGTTTGCCACCAAGCCTGACAACCTGAATTCAATCCCAGGCCCCTCATGGTGGAAGGAGAGAACTGATGCCTACAAATTTTCCTCTGATCTCTGTACATGTGCCATAGCAAGCACCCCCACTATACAAAATAACGTTTTTAAGAGCAAAATACTAGAGAAAAATTTAACCATTTACTGGTAAGGCATATCCTCTTGTATTACTATAATATTGATGAAATATTTTTGATTAAACATGTTGCCAAATTAAAAAAAAAAAGAGTAAAAATGGGGATTCAAGGTGATTTTTTTAGGTGTTGGGCCCAGACACTCTGATTTCAGTTAACTTTTTTAGAGAGTGAGGGGCTGCTGGGGATCAAACCTCAGGTCTCACACATACTAGGTGAGCACTGTAACTGAGCTAAATCCCCAGTTTCTGATTTCAGTTAAAATCCATTTACTAAACTGCCATGCTTCACCAAAAAGTGCCATTAAGTCACAATACAATAAAGTGTCTTTAGTCATTTGAAATGTCACTTGATATTCCCTAAAATGGGCAAATAGTTGTTCATGATCATACAGGAAGACTATTCTTGTTTGTTTTTGTTTTTGAGATAGGGTATCACTATGTAGACCAGGCTGGTCTGGAACTTGCTATGTAGACCAGGCTGGCCTTGAACTCACAGAGATCTACCTGCTTCTGCCTCCTGAATGTTGGGATTAAAGGTGTATGCCACAATGCCTGACCCCAAGAAGACTATTCTATAATGTATGTATGTATATATAACAAAAAAAACTAAAATAAAACTTGACCCCAAACTAATGTTGGATATAATGAACATTATTAAATGTTTATTTTTTTATATTCTACACCTTCAGTTTGGAAGGGTTTTAGTGAAGATGTTGGATGTCATAGTGTTTGAATGTGCCTCCTTTGTATTTTCTTTAATGTTTTTCTGTAACAAGGCAGAATTAGAACCGTCTTGTTAACTGTACAGATGGTGTTTCACGGCTAGTTTGTAACCCCTCACTTTGCCATGGTGCGACTGTGGTGAGGGTCATTGAAGCCCCATAAAGAGATGTGGTCAGTGAGGACCACAGGTGGAACAGAACAGAGACAGAGGGCAATGGAAACTGTTCTCTAGAGCAAGACTAGAGCCAAGACTAAAAATCATTCATTTTGGGGAGCTGGAGAGATGACTCAGTGGTTAAGAACTCTGACTGCTCAAAGGACTGGGGTTTGGTTCCTAGCAGCCACATGGTAGCTAATAGTTCCAGGGGATCTGACACCCTCTTCTGACTTCCATAGGCATTGCATGACACAGATGCTCTTACATACATGTACACAAAACACTCATGCAAATAAAATAAAAATAAATAAAAATTGAATTTAAAGAAATTTGGGATATAGGTAGCTGAATAGCAAGTATAATCACTAAATATAAATAAGCCTGTCTTGTTTCTTCATGGGCTGAGACTTTGTCCTGAGCATTTTGGTCAGACTGAGTATGACACAGAGGAACTAGTGCTGTATAGAGGGGACCTCTGCTCGTATTCCAGGTCCTGCTGCTGGGACATCATAGCATAGTGGTGATTGATTATGCACTCCCATCTGGAACTGAACTGTTTGATTGTTTAAATTATTCTGTTGAATTTCAGTTGTTTTAGGTTATTGTAATGTTATTTTTAAAATGTTTTAACTCAACAGTGTGATGCCATTAGTGTGTTGGAGAAGGAACATGATTACAGAGATGAACATTTTGATTTCATCCAGTCACATATCCGGAAGTTCTGTTTACAGTGTATCCTTTAACAGCACACCTGACCTGTTTTGTTTTCCCAAACACAGTCATTATGATGGACTTCAGAAATTCTGTAAACATTATTCCTCCTGTCACTGACTCTCAGGTCACGTATATGTGGGTATTTTGAAGTATATTTACTGACATCAAAGGATTGTGCTGCTCTACTGAAAACCTGGGAGATACAAATGGAAGCGAATGGGAGAAAACAGTTTATTCAAGGCCAGCCCTGAACAGAATTGAGGAGGTTTTTCCGTTCTCAAATCTCTGATCTTGGAAGAGGGCCTCAGTGGTTCACAAAAGGGGCCAGTAGGAGAATAAGCAAGAAATCCCATGGTGGGTGGATGCTTGCTTGCTTTGTTTCCAAGCCAGCTGGGGCTACAGGGGGACCCTGTCTTAAAAAGAAAAAAAAAAAAGATTAGGGAAGAGGTTGGGAGAGAAGGCAAAAGTAATGGCTCCCACCTGTTCTACCACAGTATGAAGGCAAATATTGAAATATATAACTTTGATTTGTTGTGTTTAAAGTATGATGTTTAAGAAAAACAATGACCAGGTTTATGTGGAAAATTCTAATGCAATAGTATTATGGACCCACCTGATTAAAAAACATTCATGCCAGACATGGTGGAACATTCCTCTACTACCAGCACCTTTGGAAGTTGAGGCAGTAAAGAATTTGAGGCCAGCTTGAGCTATATCCTAAAACCTGTCTCAGAAAACAAAAAATGTATTCATTTATTGGGAGTGAGTAGTGGGGTAAGATCAATCTTTAGGTTTGTGTTTTTAATTTACTTAATGTGTTATCTTCTCCATATACAGCCTAACTTTCAGAATCAAGTTATGTTAATTTAAGACCTATTAGCATGGAACATTCTATGACAAGGATGGAAAATCTGCTTTTGAAAACCTGGGTTGGTGCTAGGCGTGGTGGCACACGCCTTTATTCCTAGCACTTGGGAGGCAGAGGCAAGTGGATCACTGTGAGTTCCAGGCTAGCCTGGTCTATATAGTGAGTTAAGGCCAGCTGGGGCTACAGAGAGACCCTGTCTCAAAAAGGCCAAAAAGAAAAAAGGAAAAAATGGGTTGGGGCTAGAGAGATGACTCTACTATTAAGAGCACTTGCTGGTCTTCCTACAGAGGACCTGGGTTCCGTTCTCAGCACCTACATGGCCTGTAACTCCAGTGCCTGAAATCTGATGCCCTCTTCTGGCCTCTCTGGGCACTATGTGCACATGGTGCCCTTACATATATGAAGGCAAACACTCACACATAAAATGATAAATCTTTAAAAAAAAAAAACCTCCTGTATTATTTTTATGTTCCTAAGTTGGGAAACATGTCATAGAGAGTATTTCTAATCTAGGTTGCAAGGATTAGATGAGCTAGTGAGTGACATTCACAACTGAAGAGGAAATGACTTTTAAGATAATTTACAGTGAAAACATAGTTTCACCTTGAGTGATTGTGTTAGGAATAGGACAGTAATAATCAGTCCTGCACACATTCCTGCTGTCTTAGTTTACACACTATCTCCATGGATGGGCATTAATTAAGACACCTACAGAAGACCTAGTTTGGTGCTGCTCACTTCCACTTGTGCCCTTTTATTCTGTTCATGGCCCTTTCTGTTCCTGTGTCTTACAGTTGAGTTGTGCCTGGGTAGATGGCACTTGTCTGCACAGCATCGTCAAAAGAAAACAAAAAGTGGCAGGACTGAAGTAGGTGTAAACAGCCTTTGTTGTTATTTTTGAAAAATAGAAAACTCAAGAATAGTCTCTTAAACAGTTCTTTCAAGTTACACTTGAAAATGTAGATGTAGAAATTTAATCAAGGCAGAAGCTGTCTACTAAAGTGGAGACTTTAGGGCCATTTGATTTAAAGAAAATACAGAATGAGGAAAGTCAAGGTAGTGAAGCATGTCTGTCAGTAAAGGCAGCAGTTTCAAGTCCTCGTTACTTAAGTTTTAAAGTTTTTTCATTGCAGTACAAACATTTAACTTATAGAAATATTCCAAATTATTATAAATTGGTTCTTCTGAGGAAGGGTAATTCAGAATTCACACAGTCAGGTTTTTAAAAATTATGATTTTGTTGATGCCAAGTTATTTTTAACAGTATTTTAAATTTATAAATCTAAGGCCATGTTCTAGAAAATATTAGTATCCTGGTAGGAATACTTTGGGCATTTAATGTTGGCCTAAGTTACCTCTTTCTCAGGAACATAGTAGCCAGAGCAGGATTGTCCTACCGGGAGGTCATAACATTTGTTTCTGAGTTTTGTTTTGGTTTCGGGTTTTTGAGACAGGGTCTCGAAGTAGCCCCAAATGGCTATGAAGACCAGGCTTGCCTCTATACCACAGAGATCTGCCTGTTTCTCTCACTATATCATCTGTCAGTGGTCACAGAACTCTTTTCCTCAAACCTCTTGATCTTTTAATCCAACATGGCTTTTAGATAAAAAGTAGGGCTTACATGAATTAATACAACCTCATGAGAGGTAGGGCTCTTCCAAATTTTAGCCATGAATCTGCTTTTGCTTTGGGTCATGCCTAGAGGTTTCCTGATTGGCTCACCTTTTCACAGCGTTGGCCTTCCTGTTACCCTTTCAGTGAATTTCTTAAGCACTGTTCTCCAAATCTTTTTTGTTTGTTTTTGTTTTTGGCATAGGGTCTCCCCATAGCCCCAGCTGACTTGGAACCCACTGTGTAGACCAGGCTGGCCTCCATCTCATGCACACCTATTCTAGGCTTGTTTTCTTAACTCCTGGGATTAGTAAAAACTGTAAGATAATAGTACAAACCATTTTTATTCAAAAGACAGGTTAATAAAAAAACAAATTTCCTTATTTAAAAAGTTTTTTATGGGGCTGGAGAGATGGCTCAGTGAGCAGTTAAGAGCACTGGCTGGTTCAATTCCCAGCACCCACATAGCAGCTAACAACTGTCGGTAACTCCAATTCTAGGGGAATCCGATGCCCTCTTCTGACCTCTGAGGGCACTGCATGACACACGTGCACTTACATACATGCAGGCAATACACTCAAACACATTAAGTAAAAATAAATAAAAATATTTTAAAAGTTCAGAGATCAATGGGAGAAGTTCCCAGGAAAGTCAGACTAAACCAGAATCAAAGGGCAGCAAAGTCAGTGCAGGGCAGAGTTCTGGAAGATGTTTCTTTTAAAAGTGAAATTAATGAAGTTACTAATCATTTAATGTTTGAGGAGAAGTGTAAATATTTTGAGGGCTATGTGTGTATGTGTATATTTTGAGAGCTATCTTGTGTGCATAGAATTAAATGGATGGTAAGTAGATAGATAAGCAAATGATGAAAAACAGTAGAGAAACGTGTACATTCTTTGAAAAAAATGAGTTTGAGAGCTCATAGTTCAGCTGTGCCTGTTTTATATATATTTATATACTAAAGTCACACCCAAATCTAGAATCTAGAGGTTGGAAAATGTGTGTGTGTGTGTGTGTGTGTGTGTGTGTGTGTGTACGTGTGTGTGCTTGTGCAGAGGGCAACTTAAGAGTAGGTTCATGTGGAGCCCAGGATTCGAACTTGGGTTGTAAGACTTGACAGCCAGTGATTTTACCCACTAGACTATCTCACCAGTCCTACAACAAATTCTTTGTGTGCGATAGTATATGTGGTATATTTGGGTGTATTTGCCCATGCATGTACATACAAAGGCCAGAGGAAGACACTGGGTGTCTTCTTCTGTTGCTGTCTACTTTACATTTTGAGACAAGATTTCTCACTGAACCTGAAGCTCACTAGTTTAGCCAGGCTGGCTAGCCAGCAAACTCCTGGGATCCACCTGTCTCTGCCTCCCAATGCTGGAGTATAGGCAGATGTAGCCATGCCCTGCTTTTTCATGGGTGCTAGGGATTTGGACTCAGGTCCTGTTGCTTTCACAGCAAACACTCTTAGCCACTGAGTCATCTCTCCAGCCTCCCCTGCCTCCTTTTATAAGACAAGGTCTCACTATACAGCCCAGGCAGGCCTCAAACTGATAATCCTCCTGCCTCAGCCCCCTCAGTACTGTGATTCCAGATGTATACCTCCATGCCCAGCATCTTCATTGTGCTGTAAATATAGTAGTGGTTGGTCTCAGTTTTACTAAATTTACCCTTCTGAGCTTCATAAAATATCTACTTTTTTTTTTTTGTTTGTTTTTTTGAGACAGGGTCTTCCTGTAGCCCCAGCTGGCCTGGAACTCACTGCGTAGACCAAGTTGGCCTGGAATTCACTATATAGACCAGGCTGGCCTCAAACTCATAAAGATCCGCCTGCCTCTGCCTCCCAAGACTGGGATTAAAGGCATGAACCACCACTTCCAGCCTATATCTACCCTCTTAAATTAAATTATGTAAGGATCATTTAAAATTTTTTATGTGTAGGACTGTTTTGCCTGCATGTATGTATATGTGCCACATGTGTACCTGGTTTCAGCAGAGGCCAGAAGAGAGTGCTGGATCTCCTGGAACTGGAGTTACAGATAATTGTGAAGCACCATGTGGGTGGTAGGAACTGAATCCAGGTCCTCTGCAAGAGTAGCCAGTGCTTTAACCACTGAACCATCTCTCCAGCCCCTGTAAGGATAATTTTATTTTCTTTGTAGTCCATATGTATTTTTTACTTTTGAAATTCTTCTTTTGAGCCGGGGTCTCATGTCTCACAGGCTGGCGTCAAATTTTCTGGATAACCAAAGATGACCTTGAACTTCTGATCCTCCTGCTTCTGCCTCCAAAGTGCTAGGTATTTTACGTTTGTTAATTTATTTATTAATTTATTTACTGAGACAGGGTATCACTATATAGACCAGGATGCATGGAACTCACAGAAATCCACCTGACTTTGCTTCCTGAGTGCTGGGATTAGGTGTGAACCACCATACCTGGCAATTTTTTTTTTATTATGTGTGTGTGTGTGTGCACTCACACATATGCTACAGTGCACATGTGGATGTCAGAGGACAACTTATGGGAGTCTGTTCTTTCTACCCATTATGTAGTTTCCAAGATTGAACTCAGGTTATCAGGCTTGGCAGCAATCCCCCTTACCTGCTGAACCATCTCACCACATCCTAGAAATTCTTGATAACCATGTTATGTACCTTGGAAGTTTTCCCTTAAACTAATGTGCATATATGTGTACAGGTTAAGCTGAAAACACGTTTTTATGGTGCCTGTTCTTGAAATCATATGATTTTCCTTAATGGGATCATTCAGATGGTGCAGCACTCATTTACACTTCAGTAAAAGAAAACAAGAACATAGACTTAGTATATAAATACATTGTTCAGAAGCTGTATGGATTTCCCTATAAGATCCCCGCTGTTGTTGTGGAAAAGGATGCAGTATTTATGTAAGTATATTCCTAAGCATAGTTTACCCTGCACTGTTGATGAATCAGCATGTTCAGTTTTGAGATGGGACCCGGAAGCTGCGTATGGTGAGTGGGTGGGGATAGTTTCTTTATAGCCTGTCTGGACTTGTTTATCATTGTCTTTCAGTTTTGCTGGTCTTTTTGAAACTCCTGTACTGTTTTAGCTAAATTGTCTATTAAGTGCCATATTAATATATCTATGTATTCCTCAATTGATTATAACAGAGGATGACCAAATGTATAATGTGGACTTAGTTTTAAGGCTTTTTCCAGGAGGGGCTGGTACAGTGCTTGCCTAGATTGTATGAAATCTGGGTTTGATCCCTAGCATTATGAAAGAATTAACCTAACTCAGATTCAGAGGTAATAATTACTGCCCGCCTCCAAAAAAACTACAATGACATTTAAAACTAAAGAATATTGATAACCACTTCAGTAGAAATTAATAAAATAAAAATCGGATATTATAATAAAAACTAATTGGTTTTCCATAATTGGTCAAATTGACTTTATAAAAATGTACCTGGAGGGCTGGGGCTGTAGCTCAGTGGTAGAGCACTTGCCCTGCAGGCAGAAAGGCCTAGGTTCAATCCCTGTGTTCCCTCTATCCCCCAATAGTTCTTGGATTAAATGAAAATAGGACAGTGTCAGTGCTTGAGAGTTTTATGTGCATGTCTTTCCAGTCCGGCAGGGTGGGATAATGATAAGAAAATAGGAATATTACACGAAAATTTTCAGACATTGAAAATAGAAGATAATTTTGAAGACATCATAACTAAGCCACCTGTCCGGAAGGTAAGTTGTTTCGTTTTGTTTTGTTTTATTATTTTGAGACAGGGTCTTCCTGTAGCCCCAGCTGACCTAGAACTTGTTATGGAGACCAGGCTGGCCTCAGTCTCACAGAGATCCACCTGCCTCTGCCTCCTGATTACTGGGATTAGAGGCGTGTGCCATCATGCCTGGCTGGAAAGGTAAGTTTTAGCAAATAGTCTGAATATCTAGATTTGTTTAAGTGGCAGGGTTCATTCATAACTTTAAGATTGCAGGAAGAAAGACAAAGTTCTCCTTTACTGTCAGGAGAGTTGCTAAGTATAATCTGGGCATTTAAATGTGTGATTCACATAAGGATTGGCCTTACTTAGCAAACTGAATCAACTATTCATTCAGTCACTGCATCTTAGTCTTTGGCATGTCTGTGTTCTCAGATATCAATGCCAAATCCATTTCTAATGCGCTTTGCAAGTTGAAACTTGGTGACAGTGAATATGTGGATCTGAGCAGTTAGACTGCATAGAAGCTGTGAACTTTTGGAGTCTACAGCTCTGTCCACAGCCATGAAAACATTGCTAAAATGCTTTTCTTCCCTCTACCCCTTCAGGCAGATCTTGGATCTTTGCCACAGTTACTAGTTACTAACATTGGCTCACAGATATTCAAAACCTTCCAGTTTTGTTTAATTTTAGTCTTGACTAACATTGTATTCTGTGACTGTTAAATCAGATGGCAGAAGGTACTTTTCTTGTGTATTAAACTGTACATATATAATGCTCAGTAGTTAGATGCAGATGTAGATGTTTCTGAAAAGTAATATAAAAAGAAATGTTCATATAATATTTCTCATTCACAGCCGGGCGTGGTGGCGCACACCCTTAATCCCAGCACTTGGGAGGCAGAGGCAGGTGGATCTCTGTGAGTTCGAGACCAGCCCGGTCTACATAGTGAGTTCCAGGCCACTGGGGCTACAGGGAAGCCCTGTCTCAAAAAGACCAAAAACAAAAAACAAAAAAACAAAAACAAAAACCAAAAAAACTTCTCATTAACTTAATCCAGCATTTCAGGAAAAATTAATTTTGATTTAGCATATATTATGAGCCTTACTTAATTGGAATATTCACAGTGCAGGGTATCTATCTTCTGTGTGGGTAATAGGAATAAGTAATAAGAAAAGTAAGTAAGCTGCTGGGTATGGTGGTGGTGCACGCCTGGTCTACATAGCGAGTTCCAGACCACCTTTGAGACCCTGTCTCAAAAAAAAATAAAGATAAGCTCCAGTGAAAATCCAACTAGCATGTTGCTTTGGTTTGGCTATCTACTGAAATGCGTACACCCACAAAACAAAACCCTATGAACATTTCCCCTTTTTTTGGATTATGTGTATGCATCAATGTGTGCATGTGTGTGTGTGTGTGTGTGTGTGTGTGTGTGCGTGTGTGTGTGCGTGCGTGCATGTGTGCATGAGTGCAGTTGGCTGCAGAGGCCAGAAGAGGGCATCAGAGCTAATGGAGTTGGAGTTACAGGTGGTTGTAAGCTGCCCAACATGGGTTCTGGGAACTGAATTTGGGGCCTCTGTAAAAGCAGTATACACTCTTAATTGCTGAGCTATCTCTCCAGATGCCCTACCAAAATTCATTCTGTTCAGGCACTCTTTATGTACAGAGCACTAACTAGGAAGGGGGAGGATGTAATAATAAACTAATATGGGCTTGGAGAGATGACTTGGCAGTTAAGAGCACTGGCTGTTCTTGCAGAAGACCCAGATTCGAATCCCAGCACCCACATGGCAGCTAACAACTGTCTATAACTCCAGTTTCAGGGGATCTGACACCCTCTTCTGACCCCCATGGGCATTCCATGACATGGATGCACCTACATACATGCAGGCAATACACACGTATACATAAAATAAAAATTTTTAAAAAAATTAATACATAACTGGGCCTTGTGCCACACACCTGTAATCCCAGCACTTGGGAGGTGGAGCTAGGAGGATTGCCACAAGTCAAAGCCAACCTGATCTATATATGAGTGCCAAGCAGACCTGAACTATGGAGTAAGATCCTATCTCAAAACAACAACAAAACACTAATACAAGGTCTGGAGAGATGGCTCTGCAGTTAAGAGCACTGACTGCTCTTGCAGAAGACCTGGATTTGGTTCCCAGCACCCACATGGCGGCTAACAACCATCCATAACTCCAGTTCCAGGGGATCCGATGCCCTCTTCTGACCTCCATGGGCATTGCACGACACTGGTACACTTACATACATGCAGACTATATAATCATTCACATAAAACAAAAAAATAAATTTAGCCTGGTGCATGCCTTTAATCCCAGCACTAGTGAGGCAGAGGCAGGCAAATCTCTGAGTTCAAGGCCAGGGAGACCCTGTTGCAAAAGACCAAAAAAAAGGAAAAAAAAATTAAAAAAAATACATAGGTTGTCTATCAAGTGATGAAAAAGGCTATGGAAATAAATAGGGTATGGGAGATGGACTAAGAAGACTGAGCTCTGGGGATGCTGTTTTAGGAGTAGCTACTCATGTGGTGCTTGGGGACAGAACCCAGGCACTCACATACACTAGGCAAGAGCTTTGCTTCTGAACTACACTCCCAGCTGAAACAGTCTTCCTTCCTATCAGAGTATCTGGAATAGTCTTAAAGGCGAACAGTCTGAAAGAATATGTGCTCCAATGTGGGAACATGTGAAGACCAAGAAGCTGAAAAGAACTGTGAGGCAGGCAGGTGGAGATAAGAGGCAGCATTAGAGCCTGTGTGACTTTATCTGTAGGCTGTAATAAAAGGACTTTGTATTTCATTTAGAGTGAGATGACTGACTGGGTAGTTTGAGTAGAGGAGTGATGTAATGTGAACTTTGAAAGGAGCACAGAGCCGGGCATGGTGGTGCATGCCTTTAGTCCTGCACTTGGGAGGCAGAGGCAGACGGATCTCTGTGAGTTTGAGTCCAGCCTGGTCTACATGGTGAATTCCAGGCCAGCTGGGGCTACAGGAAGACCCTGTCTCAAAAAGACAGAAAAAAAAAAGCACAGGCCCCTGCGGAGGAAATAAACTGGTCACATACTGTACAACAATGCAATTTTCTTACAGTTCCTTTTCTTAATTATTTCATTAGTAGAAGAGCAATTGTATTTTTATTTCAGGTAACCAAGAACAAGTTATATTCACCCCACTGAGATATTCCTGAGTCATGTAAAATACTCAGCTGCAGTTTATCAGATTGAATAAGACTGGTTAATATGCCTATGGCTCTAGGGTTGAGCTGTTCAATAGAGTAGTCACTGGTCAGGAATGGCTTTTAAATGTAAAGTTAAATTAAATCCTTCTGCAGTCACAGTGGGGCATCACTTATATAGCATAAGTATAGGTAGATTCATGTTCTTAAACTGTTTTTCCGTGAGTCTAATCCACAGAGTGTTATTAATGGTGTTAGCAAGATGTATTAAACTTGCTCATTTTGTTGCTCCTTTCAGTTTGTACATGAGAAGGAAATTATGGCAGAAGATGACCAAGTGTTTCTTATGAAGTTACAGGTATGAAATTACATGAGAAGCAGTCTTAGTATGGTGGAATTCATTATGTAAAGATTATTTCATTTGCCTTCTAGCCCATATGTAAATATTTTGTACTTTTGAAATTCTTGATAACTATCATATACCTTTGGAGGTTACTTTAAACTTTTTTATTACATTTTATATATTTTGTGTATATGAGGTGGGGGTGCATGCATGCTCAACTCACATTTGGAGGTCAGACTACAACTTTCTGGAATTGGTTCTCTCTTTTACTATGTGGGTCATAGGGACTGAACTCAGGTTGATGGCAAGTGACTTTACCCCCAGAGTTAACTCACCGGCTCTAGAGCTTACTTTTTAAACTGATGTGCATATAAATGTACAAGTTAAGCCATTTTATTTTCTTTAAAAATACAGCAATATAGACTATGAATGTCTAAATTAGAATTCCTTTTTTCTCCCCAGTCCCTTTTAGCAAAGCAACCACCAACTGCAGCTGGAAGGCCTGTGGTCAGTATTACAGATTTTGACAAAATTATTAAAATTCAATATATACCGTTCTAATTATCTTTTCTCCTTACTTATTTAAAATATTTTATTTATTTTTATTTTATGTGTATGAATGTCTTGCCTCCATGTATGTAAGTGCACCTGTGCTATGCAGTGGTTATGAAGATCAGAAGAGGGAGTTGGATCCTATGGAACTGGAGTTATGGATGGTTGTTAGCTGCCATGTGGGTGCTGGGAATCGAACCCAGATCCTCTGCAAGTGTAGCCAGTGCTCTTAACCACTGAGCCATCTCTCCAGCCCCTAATTATCTTTTCTTAATCACACACACATAAACTTCAATTCAGAATTCTTCTGGAATTGTGAGGTGTCTTTTAAAGAATCTATACTCCTTTTTAGAACACTTAAATCATGTAAAGATCTTTTACAGTGTTTATTATCTATCATTACTATTCTAAGCCATTTATATGTGTGTTTTTACAAATCCTCAGGACAGCCTTATGAAGGAGTGCTATCAAAGTTCCATTTTGTAGATGGGATAATGACCTGGGAAGACACTGTGGCTGGCCTGAGATTATATAGCTGGCTGAGATGAAAACCAGATCTGCTTCCCTAGCTTCTGGTCAAAGCCACCTCATTGCCTGATATTTTTTTTTTCCAACAGTGTAAAGATTGGTATTCTAAGATATGATGGACCTGTGGCATTCTCTGATAATTAGGATGAGATTAATTAATTTTTTATTTTATGTGTATGAGTCTTATGCCTGCATGTATGTAAGTGCACCCGTGTCGTGCAGTGCCCTCAGAGGACAGAACAGGGCATCAGATCCTGGAGTTACGGATGGTTGTTAGTCACCGTGTCGATGCTTGGATTCGAGCCCAGGACTTCTGCAAGAGCAACTAGAGCTCTTAAGCACAGAGCCATCTCTCCAGCCCTGATTACTAACAATTTTGTCAATGAGTTATAGTGTAAAAACTACTAGAATAGATGGAGATCTTTGTAAAGTGATTTTTCCTATTGTGAAGTTGAAAGTTTTAGATTCTAATACTTGCAGTTTTCCTGTTTCTACCTAGGATGCTTCACCAAGAGTCCCTGGAGGTTCTCCTCGAACACCAAACAGATCTGTGTCCTCCAATGTTGCCAGTGTGTCCCCCATCCCTGCTGGGTCAAAAAAAATTGATCCAAATATGAAAGGTATATCTTTGTTTTTTGGAGAAAACAATGCAGTACATTTTACATTGAACAAACTATCTAGAACCCCGCCTAACTGAAACAATTTTTATTTTTTTGTGGTACCCTCTAAGTTTTGTTCTTGTAGATAGGATCTCATAATCAGATTGTGTATATACACACAGAAAAAAAATCAACAAATTTAAAAAATGTATTATATTTGAGGAGGAAGTATAAAAGTTTATGTCATGCTAATTAGTAGAGGTGATGAACATTACCATTGAAATCTACCTGATGACTTTATAGACATACATAGGCGCCAAGGATCCGAGTGCAAACGACTATGACTAGTAATAATCAGATACGTATAGATTAGGGACGCATGTGCCAACATCTCAGTGTTAGTAGCAAAAACAATGAGTCTTTCTGTAAGAAACAGTATACTTTAGAATGAAATGGAGATCTCTTTTGAGGGTTAAAAACTCATTCAATTTTCTGTCTTACCGGGCTTATACTGAGTTCAATATTGTATAGCTGCTCCCTTCTAAAAAAAAATAATATTAAAAAATGTAATAAAAAAAATAACATTCTAAGGCTTACAAGATTGGTCAGCAGGTAAAGCACTTGCTGCACAAGCCTGACGACCTGAATTCAATTCCTAAGCACATGTAAAGATCTTAGGAGAGAGCCTACTGTACAGAGTTGTCCTCTGAATGCCACAACACATTTTAAAAAATATTTTATTTATTTATTATTATTTTTTAAAATATTTTATTATTTTTATTTTATGTGTATTGACTGCATGTGTGCAAGTGCACCTGTGTCATGTAGTGCCCAAGGAGGTCAGAAGAAGGCGTCAGATTCCTTGGAACTGGAGCTACAGATGGTTGTTAACCACCATGTGGGTGGTGAGAATCGAACCTGTCCTCTGCAAGAGCAGTCAGTGCCCTTAACCGCTAAGTCATCTCTCTAGCCCCTATTATTATTTTTTTTAATTTTATTTATATTATTTTTATTATATGTGTTTGTGTGTATTGCCTGCATGTAGGCATGCCTGCATGTCGTGCAATGCCTGCGAAGTCAGAAGAGGCTGTCAGATCTCCTGGGACTGGAGTTATGGACACTTGTTAGCTGCCATGTGGGTACTGGGATTCGAACCCAGGTCTTCTGTAAGAACAGCCAGTGTTCTTAACCACTGAGCCATCTCTCCAGCCCCTATTATTATTTTTTTTAACAGAGCATAGGGTAGGGATTTATTTACAGAAGAGTGGGCGCCCTGCATTTACGGCTACACCATAAAGTCCACACTCATCCACAACACATTTTAACACATGTGCAAAATACATAGACAGTAATAATAAAATTAAAAATTAATAATAGGGCTAGAGAGATGGCACAGTAGTTAAAAGCACTGGCTGTTCTTGCAGAGGACCCAAGTTTAATTCCTAGCACCCACATTGCAGCTAACAACTGTCTGTAACTTTAGTTCCAGGGGAATCTGACACCTTCTTCTGACTTCCACAGGCATTGCATGACATAAGTGAATTTACATACATGCAAGCAATACACTCATACACATAAAATAAAAATAATAAAATGTTTTTTAAATTAATAACAGCATTCTAATTGTTTTGTGTATGGGTAGTTTACTCAACTTCAAAGATCAAACTGCACTTGAATTTGGGACACACAGTTCTTACATTTTAATCCCATCATTCTTTTCCTGTGTATGATGATTAATAATTTACAGAAAAAAATCTAATGTTTTGTTTTAAATACATGTTTTTGTTTGTTTTACAGCTGGAGCTACAAGTGAAGGTGTCCTGGCAAATTTCTTCAACAGTTTGTTGAGTAAGAAGACTGGCTCTCCTGGAGGCCCTGGTGTTGGCGGTGGCAGCCCTGGAGGAGGGACTGGAGGGGGAAGCAGTAGTTTACCACCATCTGCTAAAAAGTCAGGTATAGCACTAAAAAGCCAGGAGCATAGCACTTTTCTTTAAAAACATCTCTATTGGGGTATGATTTGCAGATGAAGTGCACTTATGTAGTGTGGTTTTAGAATCCACACAGAACTGTAAAAACAATCACATAGTCTAATTCTGAAACATTTTCATCTCTCAAAAAAAAAAATTGTTGGACTGGCATGATGGCACATGCCTTTAGTCCCAGAGCTAGGGAGGCAGAGGCAGGAGGATTTCTCTGAGATTGAGGCCAGCCTGGTCTATATAGCAAGTTCTGGGCCAACTATAGGTACAGGGAGACACCCTGTCTCAAAAAAAACAAACAAAACCTGTCAAACCTTCTGCCCTCCTAGTCCCCTGGGACAGCCACTAACGTAGTTTCTGTCTATGGACCTGCCATCTGGTCAGTTTGTAGAGTTTATAAAGCTTTTTTTTTTTTAAATGTGTATGAGTGTTTTGCCTACATGTATGTAAGTGCACCCATGTCATGCAATGCCCAAGGAGGTCAAAAGATCTCCTGGAACTGGAGGTATAGACAGTTGTCTGCCTTCCTTTGGTATTGGGAGCTGAACCCAGGTCCTCTGCAAGAGCAGCCAGTGTTCCTAACTGCTGAGCCATCTCCCCAGCTCTTAGATTGCAGTCTTAACAGTGTCTTGCTTCATGTAATGTTTTGGAGGTTCATTCATGTTGTGACTTATTTCAGTGCTTCATTTCTTTTCATTACTAAATGATACTCCATTATGTAGATAAGCCACATTATATCTGTATATTCATTAGTTTGCGAACATTTGATTACTTCTGTTTGGGGCCATTATGATTATTGCTGCTATAAACATTAATTTTTATGTGAACTTAAGTTTTTAATTATTTTCAGTAATATTTAAGATTGGAATTCCTGGGTCACATTATAACTCTATGTTTAAATTTGTGGAGAGTGGGGCATGTCTGAGGACAACTAGTGGGAGTCAGTTCTCTCCCTCTACCATATGGGTCCCAGGGATCAAACTCAGGTCCTCAGGCTTTGCAGCAAGTGCCTTTGCCCACTGAACCATCATACCAGCCTCTATGTTTAAATTATGAAGAGCTGCCAGAGTTTCCAAATGCTAGACCACTTTCTATCCCCTCAGCAGGCTATGAGGGTTCCAGGTTTTCCTGTCCTCTCTTGTTTGCTATTCCTTTAGGGTTAGAACTCATCCTTCTCTCCAGATTCCAAAGCTCTGCTGTTTTTTGTTGTAGTGTTCATTCTCCTGTTCCTTAAAATAGAAACAAACAAACAAAAACTTTATGAGGTTAAATGATAGGTACCAGCTTTACTTCATTTAGTAACAGACCTCCTCAATTTAAAATGAAGGAATATATTTTTAAAGATGTTTATATAATTTAATAGGCTATGTAAAGTTTTGTTGTTTGTTTTTTTGAGATAGGACCTTAAGCTTGCTATGTAGTCCAGTTTGGCCTTAAACTTGTAATTATCCCTCTTCAGCCTCCTGAATACTGAGATTACAGGCAGGACCCATCAGGCTATTATTTTCTTTCTTTCTTTCTTTCTTTCTTTCTTTCTTTCTTTCTTTCTTTATCTCTCTCTCTCTCTCTCTCTCTCTCTCTCTCTTTATCTTTTAAATTTTTTACTTATTTTTGTTTGTTTAAGACAGGGTCTCTCTGTAGCCACAGCTGGCCTAGAACTCACTAGGTAGACCAGACTGGCCTTGATCTCACAGAGATCCTCTTGCCTCTGCCTTCTGAGTGCTGGTATTAAAGGCATGTACCACCACTCCTGGCTCTTATTTATTTATTTGTTTATATGTATTTTATTTGCTTGCATGTATGGAAGTGCACTCATGTATGCAGTGCCCTTGGAGGCCAGAAGAGGATGTTGGATTCCCTGAAACTGGAGTTTTAGGTGGTTGTTAGCTCCATGTGGGTGCTGAGAACCAAACCCAGGTCCTCTGCAAGAGCAGCCAGTGTCTTAACTGCTGAGCCATCTCTCCAGCCCCTATTTTTTATTTTTTTGAGATAGGGTCTTGCTTTGCTGCTTTGACAAGTTTTAAATGGAAAGAGATTTCAGAAAGCATAATTTGTATCTAAGTCTGGTTTCTTTCTTTTTGAAATTTCGTCATAGGCCAGAAGCCTGTACTCTCAGACGTTCATGCGGAACTAGACAGAATCACACGGAAACCAGCTTCTGTTTCTCCTACAACACCTACGTCTCCTACGGAAGGAGAAGCTTCTTGAGGATACCAAATAAAGCCATGCATTCAGTTTTCTGGGATAACGTAAACTTGCCTCTGCCTTTTCCTTCAAAGTTGGAATTAGGGAGCTGGAGTGCTTTTACAAACAAAGTTTATGTCTTTTTTTTTTTGGTGGTTGCCCATTTTTATAAAAGGATCTATACAGAAGAAAATGTATTCTACATTATGTATATTATGTAGACTTGTTTGCATTGCCATTCTGCATAAAGAAGCAATTTTGGATTTTGAAAATCTCCAGATGTGTAAGCCAGGTGATCCTGTTCTCAAGGCTGTACAAACCACACAGGAGTGGTTAGGAAAGTGCAGAAAATATGTAATTTGGGCAGCTGGTTGACTCAGAAATCTAAACTTGTTTTGGGTAAGACTATTAAAATCATTTTTAAAGATACCTTATGTTTTACTGAAAAAAACTAATATGTTCAGTTGTCAGATTTTTCACACCAACATAAATGTGACCATACCTGAGGAGTGTGCTTAGAAAACTGTCAGGAAGACACACTTGGTGACTGTGTCCATCACTGGTCCTGTAAGCTACCATCAGAATGGCTTAGAATCATTGGCCAATCATTGTTTCTTTATGTAACAAGGAAAGAAAGCACACTGCCTAAAAGTTTAAAAGAAAAATGCAGAGGTTATAAAAATGTAAAGAGATAACAGTCTTTGGATTTGTCTATACATATATATACATATATATATATATATACGGCACTGCCTTAATATACTCCTTTTTCGTTTGTGACTTTCAACTGTAATCAGTTAATAAAGTATTTATTCTCTGCATCAGGTTCAAATAACTTGTTGCCTTTTCTTATGTTTAATTTTGGTTTGTCAGCTAGGGAATGAAATTTGTTAGTCATTGGAAATGTTTCACATAGTAGGATCCCTGAGCATTCTGATCTTATCAGAGATAAATGAGCAAGTGAAATTCACACATCTATCAGTTTCCTTAATTTGGGAGTTCTTGATCAACACTTTCCCCCACAGGCAAGTGGAATTACAGATTTTGTTTTGTTTTTTAGTATAGGAGCTCATGTATCCTAGGCTGGCTTTTAACTCACTGTATAGCTTAATCCCCCCGCCTTTTGTTTTTTGAGGCGGGGTCTAATGTAGCTTAGGCAGGCCTTGAACTCATGATCCTCCTGCTTCCATCTCCCCAGTGCTAGGATTACATGTGTTCATCACTATGCCTGGTTTTATGTGGTGTTAGAGATTGAGCACAGGGCTTCATGCATGTTAGGTAAATACTCTATTAAGTATCTTTTTTGTTGTTGTTGTTGTTTTGTTTTGTTTTTTGGTCTTTTTGAGATGGGGTCTCCCTGTAGCCCCAGCTGGTCCACTATGTAGACCAGGCTGGCCTCCAACTTAAAGAGATCCACCTGCCCTTGCCTCCTGAGTGCTTGTTTTAGAGTATTCTTGGTAAGTTGGTCTGTTTTTCTTTGGACGTTCAGCTGAAAGAACATATCCACATTTTTCTTAGAGTCACTTCTGATGCTTTGGAGAAGATGGCTCACTGCCTTTGTTATTGTGTTTGGAATCTGAAATATCCCTCACAGGCTCATGTTTGGAACACTTGGTCTCCTGTTGGTAGTGCTGTTTGGGGGACTGTTGAACTTGTAGAGGCTGAGTTTTATTTGACAGAAATAGGTCACTAGGGGCAGGCCTCTGAAGGTTATACCCACTGATGGTAAATACCAGTTTCACTTCCATTTAGTAATCTACCCCACAATTTCAAATGCAGGAATGTGGCTTTTGAGATGGCTCATCAGGTAAAGGTACTTGCTGTCAAACCCAAGTTCAATCCCTATAACCCATGTAGAGGAGGGAGGAGAGAACCAACTCCTCCAAGTTGTCCTCTACTTTCACACGCACTCTGTGTGTGTGTGTGTGTGTGGTCGCTCCCTCTCCTCGTGGGTCGTTGGCCACCGCTCCACGAGGACAAAGGGAGCAGAAGCGACGAGCGGGGTCAGGATGGCCAGTGAGCACTGACGGAAGAAAGCAAACAGCTCCAGACTCAGTGAAACAGCTCCGTTTATTCAGTGGGAGAACTAGGGAAAATATAGTGTGGGGGCAGTAGCCAATGCCTCAGCTGATAGGTGCTCATAGTATGCTTTATTTACATGTGGCAGTAGGCCCCTATCGTCTGATTACCAGGCAATTCCTGATTATCATATAGAAAAAACCTGGGGGTAGTTTTTACTCCAGGTAACTATGCCAAAGGTCATGTTCCAAATAAGGTCAGGCATCCGTGCTTGGTGGCACTTTCCAGGTAAGTCAGGAAGAGACCAGGAGGCCCCCTGCTGAGAAGGGGAGTCCTTCCATATGGCGCCCAGCCCCTTAGAGCTATCCGGACCTGGAGGACTACAACCCTAACAGCAGGGGTTCCCCAACATTTCCCCCCTATTTTATTTTACAATGGAGAAGTGTCATCACAAACCTTAAGAGCCAACTCATCTATCTCGGGAGAATCCAAAGTTTGATGATTGACCATGACCTGTTTGGTAGTAATTTTAGCAATGGTAGTAATTTGTCGGCGAAGAAATTGTATGAAACAGGGAGCAAGCATCAAAATGACACACAGCATGATCAGGGGGCTAACAAAGGGTAGGAGCCATGAAAACAAGGGATTACTAAACCAACCTAATTGTTCGGTGGGTTGAAATCTTGAAAATAGATCATTACGGAGTTTTTTGACAATATTAACATTGGTCTCGACAACATTTGATTCATTCACAAAAAAACAGCATTCCTCTCCCAATACTACACACGTCCCCCCATGTTCAGCAGTTATTAAGTCCAATGCTCTTCTGTTTTGGAGCACAACCCCAGCAAGAGAGTTCATTTGTCATTGGAGAGACTCAAGGCTGTCAGTCGTGGATGCCATTGCCTGGTCCAGCTTGTCTCAAAAGTCTCTTGCCAGGTGATGGGTTTGTACAATGTACTTTTTGTTTTTTGAAACTGTCTCGGCCAGGCATGGTGGCCCACGCCTTTAATCCCAGCACTTGGGATGGAGAGGCAGATGGATCTGTGTGAGTTTGTGGCTAGCTACATAGTGAATTCCAGGCCAGCTGGGGCTACAGGGAGACCCTGTCTCAAAAAGACCAAAAAAAAGCCAGGCGTGGTGACACATGCCTTTAATCCCAGCACTTGGGAGGCAGAGGCAGGCAGATCTTTGTGAGTTCGAAGCCAGCCTGGTCTACATAGTGAGTTCCAGGACAGCTGGGGCTAAAAGGAGATCGTCTCAAAAAGGACCAAAAAAAAAAAGGGAAAGTCTCAATACGTACCCCTAGCTGACTTGGAGCTCCATATGTAAACAACCACCTAACTCCAGTTCTAACAACCACCTCTAATTCCAGTTCTATCTGATGTCCTCCTTCAAGGTTGGCCTTGAACTTACAGAGATCCACCTTCCTCTACCTCCCAAGTGTTGGAATTAAAAGTGTGTACCACCATGCCTGGCCATAAAGGGAATGTATTTTTTAAGGATGTTTGTATAATTCGGTAGGCTATATAAAGTTTTGTTGTTTGATTTTCTTGAGATAGGGCCTCAAACTCACTGTGTAGCCCAGACCTTGAATCCTCCTTTCTCAGTCTCCTGAGTGCTAGCCATATGCCTAGTGCCTCTCTTTCTCGTTTATAGGTCTGAACCAATGGGATTACAGAAGTGAGCCATTGCCTGCCTGGCTTTAGTGGGCCATATAAAGTTAAACCATTGGCAATTCAAATGGAGAGATGCTGGTAGAAAGGCTTGTTCTCTGCTTCCTAGTCTGCCACAGGTTCCTGTTGCCATGGTGTCCTACCCAGACACATGGAACCAAGCGGTTGAGCCAAAATGAACCTCTTCTCTCCTTCCTTGTTCCTGACAGGTATTTTGCTCACAACAACACAAAACTAATACAGTTTATGGTTTAGAATGCACAGCTTGGTCTACATTAGTTCCAGGCCAGCTGGGGCTACAGGGAGAACCTGTCTCAAAAAGACTAATATATTTAAGTTATTTAAGACTTTTATTGTTATTTTATTATTTTTTTATGTGTATGTGTATAGTTTATGTATGAATGTAAGTACACTCATGTCATGCAGTGCCTGAGGTCAGAAGAGGGTGTTGGATGCCCAGGAATTGGAGTTACAGATGGTTGTTAGCCACCATAAGGTGCTAGGAATCAAACCTGGGTCCTCTGCAAGAGCAACCAGTGCTCTTAACCACTGAGCCATCTCTTCAGCCCAAAATCATTAAAAAATTTTTAAATAAACAAATGTAATTCAAGGCTAGGCGTGGTGGTGCACCCCTTTAATAATCCCAGCACTTGGGAGGCAAAGGCAGGAGGATCTCTGTGAATTCAAGGCCAGCCTGGTCTACCTAGTTGAGTTCCAGGACAGCTGGGGCTACAGGGAGACCCTGTCTCAAAAAGACTGAAAAAAAAAAAAAAAAACGTGTAATACAAAAATTTTAAAAATAAAAAAGATCCCAGGAGGCAGAGGCAGGATCTCTGTGAATTCAAGGCCAGCCTGGTCTACATAGTGAGTTCCAGGACAGCTGGGGCTACAGAGAGACCGTCTCAAAAAGACCAAAACAAACAAACAAATAATAAATAAATAAAAAAGATCCTTGAGCTGTTTTCTCAGACACTTTGTCAATGATGGGAAGTGACTTTATAGTGTTTTTTCCTGTTTTATAAGTTCCAAGGATTTTGTTTGTTTGAGCCAGGGTCTCTGTAACCCAGGTTTCTATGTTGAAACTCACCATGTGACCCAGGCGATCCTCAAGCTCTCAGTGGCACTCTTGCCTCAGCCTCCCAAGTGCTGGCATGAACCACCACACGTGGCTTTTAGATTCCAAAGATGTTTTTCAAAGCACTATTTGAATGCAAAACCTCTATGATCTCGCATAATCTTTTCACTAACTTTAAAATCTGGGCTTTGTGTGGTGGCACACAGCTATGATGCTAGCACTGAGGGAACTGAGGCAGGAGATTTTGAGTTTGGGGCCAGCCTGGGCCTCAGCCTGGTTTAGAATTCCTCAACACAGTGAGTTTGAGACCAGCCAGGAATATATAATGAGACCCTGCTTCCAAAGAGACAAAAATAGGAAAAAGGAAAGAAAAACAAAAACACCTTTAAAATTGTTCAGTTTTACAATAATATTTGACACCTTATAATTTGATATTAATGATAAGAATACATAAACACATGAAGGTGTAATAATTTGTTTCTCTGTGGGAAACAGCATAATGTGCTTCTGGGCATAGGAGAATTTTTGAAAACATTGTATCTAAAAAATACCACTAAGACTGGATAAAAGTGGTGCACATCCTCCTGAGCAGGATGAGACATTTAAGGCCATCATACACAACTTAGTGACACCCTAACCTCAAAGTAAATAAACTGAGGATATGCAGCTTAGTTGTAGAATACTAGCCTAGCATATGGATTAAATAATACTGGTGATGTGGAGTAGAGATTGCTAAAATCCAAACCAGAAAGGATTCAGCAATTTTAGCAATATAGTTTTTTTGGTTTTGTTTTTTGAGACAAGGTCTCCTTGTAGCCCCAGCTGGCTTGGAACTCATGTAGACCAGGGTGGTCTTGATCTCTCAGAGATCTGCCTGCCTCTGCCTCCCAGATGTTGGGTTTCAAGGCAGGTACCACCATGCCTGGCACAATGTAAGGTTTTAATTTTTTATTTATTATTATTGTGAGGATGCAAATGTCACAGGGTGCTCAGAGGTCAGAAGACAACTTTCCAGAGTCAGTCGGTTCTCTCTTTCCACCAGGGGATCTGGGAATCAAACTG